ATATAGCGAAATCAAATCATATGAGTATAATTTTTTTCAAACATTCATCCATAGTCTTAATTAATTCCTAATATCTTCATTTGATAATAGTATGTAATTGAAGCTATTTTATGAACATTCGAATTTTTCGAAAATTTATTGTTATCGCATATGATGATGATAGGCATAGATTGTTTGTTAAGAAAATAAAATAAATTGAATAGTTTGAAAAAAAATAATGTTACTTGATATGTAATGATTGGAAATTAAAATTAAAAACGAAAAAAATCAAAACTATTGCTTTACCTTCGTATTTTTCAGCTTTCGTTATACTTTATTCTGATTTTTATTCTTTTTATTTATAAAATTTTTATTTTAAAACACTCTTCTTAAAAAATTTAAAAAAAATATTAAATATTCCTTAAGATGATAATGTTATGATATTGTAAAGTTTAAATTTAATCTACATAAATTCAAATATTTTATACTTTAGATGCTTTAGAATTTTTTTGCTTCCTCTTATATATATATCTTTAAAATTTGATTTACAAAATATAATGATAATTGACTTTTCAATATGGTCCTTTCAGACTGTGATATCTTTGCGTTCTGCGCTGGATTCCTCACGGGAAGAGCTTCGTCGTCTTAAGGAAAGGTTTGGTGATTTTTCTGGCGAAAGCTACGTTAACGTTGTCGAGAGGCTCGCTCTTGAGAATCATGTCCTTAGACGAAAGATCCTAAGCAGGAATAGTGAATTTTCTAACGATGCTGCTACAAGTCCGCCACCTCAGGCCTTCTTTTCTTCATTCGCAGTAGAAGACATCGAAGAGTAAGTCTATCTCTAAATTTTGCTCGATTATCATGAGCAACTTGGCAAAGGAAGTTGATCGATAATGACCTTTTATTGATTCTCTTTATCAATCATAGTAATATTAACATGGAAAAACGATTTTTCCTATTTGCGTGCAAAAAATAATGTTCCAATTAATCACATTGACGTGAAACGATTATTCATTTATTCATTGTTTGTATTTGGTTTTAACTCAACATTTATTTTGTAGTTTTACGTGTTTTATTTTTATTAACTCGTTAATAAAAAGTTATTTTGACTAAAGCAATTTTTCATGTTTATACATGTTTATATAAAAATATAAAAATATATAGAATTGGAATAAAATAATGCACAACGTGTCTTGTCAAATATAACAAAATTCAGTATATAGTTATAATAGTTAATAATAGTTATATATAATAGTTATAATTGATAAGATATTTGCATAATTCGATAGTTAGCAACATGGATCGCTAAACGGAGAAGCTTCGGTGTTAGCATTAATTAAAAGATGCGTTTAGTTCTCGATGTTGTAACTATTAATAACCACGCGTAGCGTGCACACGCGGTTTGTTTCTCGCTGTCATTCTCACCCTGTGAACGATATCAGTCTGTCAGAGGAAGTAGGCGTACTCATGGACGAATCCAGGGACGAACTAGTCGCGGAGGACATGCCAGAGGCATCTAAACCGGTCATTGGGTCGTGTACCGACATCAACGCTGGAAATAACAATCAGAATCCCGATTATTCTCGTACAGCTGAGAAAATGTCCAAGAATGCACAATCCTTCTCGAAATCAGAATCTAAAGACATCGGATTGAAGTGCACCATGTCTAAGGATTCTATTTCTGTTAAACCTTTAATTGGAATATCTAGCGTCGATTTGGATGACACGTTGAAAAACGAGACTTCTGCTTTGACCAATATTAGACAATCCAAAGATATTGAAGAGGAGGATGCGATCGAGGTTCAAATTGATCATTTGGAGGTGCAAGAGAAGGATCTCGAGGATTTAAGTTTGAAGTCTGTCTCCGATGGAGACAATTCGGTGTTCAGTGATAATCCGGACACGCAAGTGTCGCAGCAAAATCAACGTCAAAATCAAACGGTGGATCAACCGAAACCGAACGATCAATCCGAGAACGAATCTGAAGAACTCGATGATATCGAGTTGATATTCACGACGGACGAGACTTGTCGCGATCTCGGTCTTCAAGAGGACCTCGTCTCCATAACGGAAACCGAATCCTGGCAACAGGCTGTACCCGCTGGTCAACCGGTATTATTGAAATATACCAAATCAACCGAAGGTGAATCGTTGGTGTGCAACGGTGAGAAGACTAGCTCCGTCGAAGAGGCGGTTTCCTCGCAGAGTTCGAGTATCGATCGCGAGGAAAGCGTGGACAGGTTCGACGAGGGTTCTAACACCAGGTTGAACAAAATATGGTCGCAGTGTTCGGTGTTGGTTGAAACGGATATCAGCAAGTGTGGAGTCGTCGAAGAACCTGAACATGCTACCAGACATGCGGTTAGAAGGAACACTTTAGCTGCACCACCCACTGCCTACAGGTAATAGATATTTTTTTAATGTCGCATAATATATCAATTTCTTTTTTTCTCAATATCTTTTTATCTTTTTTTATCGAACTAATAAATATAGTAATTTTTTATAATAATAATTTTATATATAAATTTGTTTAATTGAAATAAAAATTGGAATAAATGTAGATGTTATTTTTCATATCAAATTCTTGAAAATGAAAGTGAAAAAAATACAATTATTCGATTGAATGGATGTGCCAAGTTTTACATCTCGTAGGGCACTTCAGTCTGCACTTGATGAAGGATTCTCACGCTAATATATGTATACATATATTCGTTGAAAGTGCATTAATTAGCTGCTCGGTACTTAACAGCTATATAAAACGTTTTCACTTACTTCCAACTCTTTTTTCTCTCTTTTTTTTTTCGTGTACCATAATTTATGTTACAAAAGCATTGTAACGACTGGTACGCATAAAGGAAATATCTTAATTATTTTTTCCTGTCATATAATCGACACGCATATGTAATTTAATAAACGTTCTAATTAAAATCATTCGTCTGTTTATCTGTTCTATTTTATTTCTTGCAATATTATAATTATATTTATAATATATTTAATCAATACTGTATATAATTATTATCGTGGTCAAAATTATTATTAATTAAAAGTTGTATCAGATATTGGCTTTGATTCTAATAGATTATTAATTAAATTAGATCAGAGCCACGGTTGGTAGTCAATGTATTCATGAGTGATGGGATGAAATGTTAACGGTTCAAAATTAACACATAATTCGATTCGCAAAATTTTATCACTACATATTTAAAAATCAGTATATCATATTATATTAAATATCAATTAAATTTTATAAGACGAATATTAATTTTAAAAAAATTTCATAAAAAAATAATCTTGTTAATAAATACGTAATTATCCACTATTTCAGACCGATCATCCATCGTGAAGCTCTGGCGGGTAGCCGACGAAAGAGTATGGCACCACTGAGACCAGTGATGGACAGGATCACCGGTGCAAGACGAGAATCTGGCGCCCAAACAGACATTTCTGCGCTTCCAGCCCATTGGCGTTCCGAGAGTTATCTCGCGCATAAAGTGGCTCATACGTTCACCACGTTGCCCAGCAAATTTGCTTTGCCGGCCGGGGTGCCTGGAAGGCTTCGATTATCCGATAAAACTCGAGAGGCGAGAAGAGTCATGCTGTCCGACATCAGCTTCACCAGTATGGTACCGGAACTGTCGAGAAGTGCCGATCATCTCTGCCACGATTCACACGCACAGGTAGGATCCGAATTGGGATCAGAATCTTCATAATTTGTATTTGTAATTATTATAAAATAATTATTATTATGCGACAGACGAGAGAAATCTGTTCACTGCAAATTGCATATCGATTTCTATATCGCTTTCACATTTATTATTATTGTTACATCTTTATGTTACAATTGTTTTAAATTTTTATATGTTTGGTGTTTAAATATTCTCGATTATTGTGCTTGATTAAATATATTTCGTTATATTTGATGGAATTTACATTTCAAGAGTATCTTGATGTAATTAGATGATGATGAATAATAAAAATATATTCTATTAATGTCTGATAATTTTTTATTTCTCGTGATCAATGAATATAATCGGGGCATTTAATACCGGATCCTTAAAATGAAATTATAGCATTTTATTAAAAATTTAAAATTTTATGAAATAGAGAGCGCAAAGAGAGAGAAAAGAACTTACATAATCATGTTGTTTTTTCTTTTACATCGTGGATATCGTAATATAGTTGTTCATCTAAACAAAACAGATTTCTTGGAAAACGGAAAACTTCATGGAAAAAGATAATTAGAACAAATTTATTTACGTGCACATAAATCTCTTTTGCAACGTGATAGAGTTATACCTATACCTAAAGCGTTGTTTTATTTCTGTTAGTATTCACAGAAATGAATACTCGTTGTGCGTGGGAGAAGGTCAAACGAATGAAGTTAATGCAATTCGTTGCAATTCCGTCTCTTCGTCAACTTGGATGACTAATTACCGGCTTCGTCTCGTTTTATTATGATACTACCGGTTTATAATGTTTATTGCCTTGATTGATACGTAGTGTCGATTCCAATAATATTCTCTGTTGTACAATTACCGTCTTTCTTTAAGGAAGAATCTATCGATCTCGAGTATCGCAATCGAAATGCAAATATTTTTCTTCGTTTCATTTCAACTTAAAATTCTTTGAAATTTTTAATGTCATGATCTTACGTAAAACACAATTATTATTCATCTTCATTTTCCTTTTTTATACTTTTTCATCCATAATTTTTAAAATTATATTGACTACAAAAAGTATTTGCACCCGTGTACCTTTATTTTCCAAGTTTTACATTCCTATATAAATTAAATAACAAAATATATTACACTCAAATCTAACAAATTGTGTAAATATTAGAACAAATTCAAATATTATTTGTTAATTCCGTTATATAATAGACACATGACCTTCTCCTCGAGTCACGAGGCTATTATACTATTTATAGACGATAAAACTACATTTTTTAGTCGCTCACGTTTTTTCTTTCAGACTTGCTTCAGTTCCCGAGGTTGTGGACTTCGTACACCGGACGTGCATCGGCGAGAATCGTTGGGCTCTCCTGCAGGATTCTGGCCCCGTTGCAACCCCGCCACAGGACTGCCGAGTCCCTGCGACTGTCGTCTCTCGACCGACCTTTATTCTTCGCGATACCGCGGTTCATTGTCCTCGATCCCATCGCCCGGATTGGAGGTGGTCGGCGGTCCACCGCGTAGACACTCGTGGAGAGCGACCGCGGCGTCCTTCGACACTTGGAGAGTTCCGCTCGCCACTTCCACCCCGAGACCCACCTGGTCTTCTATGCCCTCTTCTCCTACCCACGTGCACCCGCCTGCTACGTCCTCGAAAACTTCTAAGAGCGTTCCTAAGAGAACTAGATCGAAGGTCACCTTTCAAGGTACGTTCTTCTTCAGACACGGACAAGTTAATCTAGATAATTTTTTTTCTCATCTAGAGATCAGAGATTGTCAAACATCGTGACACGTGTATTATTTCTACGATGGACAATTTAATTAGATTCAAAATTTATTTGAATGGAAAATGCGAAGAGAATAAATAAATAATTCGAATAGAGAATTTTTTATTTTCGTTGTGGAACGATTTTAACAACGATCGAGGAAAGATAATTGGAGAAATAATATACTATACGTTACGAGTGTATCTATAAATATTTATAGTTTTAATTTGAATTGATGTTTGAAAACGAGTGAATTTTATTTTCAATTCAGGATAAAATGTTGCAAATAGTAATTGATTTTCTCGATAATCCGTTGAAGCTGGTTACAGTTAATTGAATCTCAGCCTCAGCCACTTTAAATTAATCTTCTATCGCGCTTAGCAACCTTGTATTGGATAGAACCGTATCGTAGGTTCGAGTTTCCAACGTTATAGGATATGGACGAGAAATTTGATCGTAATCTACATTACGCGGGTGCTTTTCAATATTTCTTTTATATTTTGTATCTGCCCTATATCTCCGTACAGTTATTACAAACAATAAAAACAAAATTCACTTGGTAAGATTACTTTTATAATATTTATTCGAATTTTAAACTTCGATTTCACAGATACTATTATTTCCTTCAACTCGATAGTTATATAACAATTTTAAAACGCGCAATATTCACATGTGTTTCAGAATCGAAATATATTATACATAACTGCGCAAAAATTTTAAAATAATCAAACTTTAAACAATTTCAAAGCTGATACGATACCTATTCGATATATTCTTTTAATTCTTTTACAAAAGAAAGAAAGAAAAAAAAATATTACAACGATTCCAAACTTCTTTTTCTCATTTTCAATAAATACGTACTTACATTTACGATTCGATGAATTTACGTTTACGATGAACAAATTCGAAATCCTCTCGGGAAGACAATCTTAATTGTCGGAACCTGTTATGAACCTGATGTTTTCCCCAACAAGTAGCAAGTTTTTTATATATGATCATCAAGTTGGTTTGCTCGCAGAATGCCCGATGACGCGTGGCAGCTTGCCAAATCTGCGCTCGGATTTGGTGACCGGCGATAACAGCGGCGATTCGACCGAGTCGTTGATCGACGAGGCCGAGGATTATTTGCGACGAAGCATCGACTCGATGCTGACAATATCCAGTAGCGGCGTCAGTTCCGATTACTGGAACAGACAGACAGCTAGGCGGAGACGTACACGGCGATACTCTGAGCCGGATCTAATCCGTGACTGGCATCCGCCACAGGATGCCAGACCGTACCTGCCAAAGGTAAATTCCATCATCAATTATCTCTACGTGTATTGTCCCTCGATTCGAACACTGTTTCGCATCGAATTGTATTATTATTTAATAATAAGTTACGAATCTATTTCTCGTAGAGCATAGATACTTTTTTAGAATACGATTGATCCGATTGTTACGATCCGATTTTCGTGGTAATTTTTTAAAATATCGTTGATGCAATAACAAAGACGAGCTTAGAAAATATTTCCTTTTTAATATTCGAATAATCTTTAACCTTCCCCTGTATTTTCCTTCTTTCGACAGATACCAAGAGATCTAAAGCTGGATCATCTCGTGAAGATTATATCGCCAGAGGGTAAAGTTCTTCAAGGGCGAGTGAGATACGTGGGTCCTGTACCAGGCCGCGAGGAGACTCACGTAGGCGTGGAGTTACCTTACTCGAATGGCTCCTCCGATGGCACGTTTCACGGGAGAAGATTCTTCGATTGGTAAGTTTCGTTCATTTAAGTTATTTAAAAAATTCTATCTCTTCTCGAGCACAATTTTATACGTACGATTGATCGAACGCGTGAAGTGAGAGACTTCGATGAAACGTTGCTTCGCTGGTGAAATAATAACCAGGTCTTTTATCGAACGAACGTTGATCGCGTTTTCGCAGTTAGCAGTTCCTATTAACACAATGCCAGGATCGCGACTCTGCATCGTTACCGCAGTGAAAATAATGTTAACGAAATGCTTAGGAAACGAGACATGGATATCGAATTATGAAACTAAAGTGATATTGAACGACCGAGTAGACACCGTAAGTACTTTCTTCCAAAGAATAACTCTCGTATGTCGTAGTATGGGATAAAAGTTTTACTATTTTCGTCGATATATCGACAAAGTTAATTTTACGATATTAAACTTGTTTTTTTATGTTCCTCTTAACTCTCTCTCTCTCTCTTTATATTTTCATTATTATTGTCATAAAAGAAACAATTAAACAACAAATTTTTAAGCAGTTAACAGTTAATTCTTAAAAAATTCAAGTCCATAGTGGTAGCCTGGAATATTTTTCCATATCAATATTTAATATGTATAATTATATATATATTTCTTGGTATACGAAAGTCCATGTCAAGTATATCCTCTCTTCATGGTAAGAAAAATCCATCCACCGTAACACCGCAGTCCGACATTTTTCCAACTCGCGCCGCAGAAAAGAGTAATTACCGAACGGGAGCGCATACTTGAGAAAGGCGCTACCTACTTCGCGGAAACAACGCGAAATTCCAGTATACGAACGGGATATATTCGATGGTCGAGTAGATTGCTCGAATTTCTGCAGTTACGAGGTATAATAGTGATCATTTCGCAGCGCACGAGGTTTCGTGATGCATTCGTTTACCCGTATTTTACGAGGTCTGGCCGGGTAATCGCGTCCCGGCAACGGGGCCTTTCCTCCCTTTCAGCGAAACCGTTCCAAACGAAACGGCGTGTGTCACGATTTCTTCGCCTAGTTCTTAATTAAATCGCCGCCGCGTCCTTTCCCGAATCATCATCGGGAACGTATTTAATTTCGTAATTGCATCGTGTTCTCGAGATAATAGGTCGAACGTGGAACGAGCTGCGTGACAAAAGCAATTCCGCTACGCGATAAACTCTCTTCTCGCTTCTTCTTCTTCTTCTTCTCCTCCTTCTTCTTCTTCTTCTTCTTCTTCTTCTTCTTCTTCTCCGTGGACGTTTCTCTCGGCCATGTGTACACGAGATTATATTCGCGCGTGGAGTGGCGTAAACGTGACCCTCTCTCTTCCAAATAAGAATGCAAAGTTCACCCTGCGAACGTCGCTCGATAATATTTAACAACTTTTGTTCCTCGAAAGAAACGGTAATTCGCTCACCTCCTCCCGGATAACGAACGGATGAAGACAGAGGCTGGTTTGATATTCCTCTTTTTTTAAATATTCGCTTTATCGGAGGCGAAACCCGAAGAGTTTTAGAGTTTTAGAGTTTTTAGAGTTCGTTGGAATTGCGTCGAAACACTTTACTCCATTAACTGTTTTGTATTTTTTATCTGGGATCCATTGCGTGTGGAATATTTTCATTTTCGAATAATTCGTAGATCGAGAGATTTTTCTATGGTGATATTCGTGTTTGAAGCAGCGAATTTTCAGAAGCATTGAAAATATCTCTTTTATTAATTCATCGTACGTTATTTTTAATTTAATTCGTTCCAAGGCAAATTTCCTAGTAATTTCTCGGCTAAACTTTTTGAAGAAATTATTACGTAAAGTTGGTGTAATTGCACGCTTTTGCGCATATCTTGTCCCAAGTTTGAAGAATTTATCGGTGACCGTTTTGCGGTAATTGCTATTCTCGGTTCGCAAACCGAGAAAGCGTTTTTACGTCTTGCCGGATGAACCAACGTTTCGATGTAACACTTTTGTTCCAAGTGTTTCGCCGATCGACAACACGATGAATAAGTAATTCATCGTGTCGTGGCCGTAGATCGTTGAGGTCTGACCTATGTGTGCACACATGAACAATTTATATACAATGTGAGACTTTGTATCGACGATACATCGATACTTTTTCATCGATATTCTTTCACTATGATAAATTTCTATCCTTTTTTTTAAATAAAAATATTGAATATTAAAATTTGTTTTTTTGAATAATTTTTTTGAGATATTCATTTTTTGTGAGATATTATAAGATATAGAAATCTGAGATTTTTTTTTTTAAATCGATATTTACGTGCAACACACGTGAAAGATTTATCTTTATCTTTGAATCCAAGAATAAAAAGGAGAGTATCGACGTAAAATGATATTTTTATGATCGGTATTTTTATCATTTTGCATAACTGTATTACTTTTTCTTCCATCACGAGCGATGAATAAAATGTGAACGTGAATTTTATTATCGAATGAATGACGATGTTAATTTTTACCTCCCGTTTTAATGTTTTAATTTAATATCATTTGTTAAATGTATTCGATAAGAGTTCGTGGAAATTTTGTGTAAAAAAAATTAGAAAATAATTAGACCTCCTCAGGGTAATAACGAGTTTTTCTCTTAATTATATATCTGCACGGTATTCTATCATCGTGAGTGTTACAAAACCAAGCCAGCTCAAACGACACGTTCATTCGGTTACAATGTATTTATTATTTGCACAAAGCGTATATTCTTCTTTTACGAAGAGGAGGAGGAATATTTTCAGAAAGCGCGTATATTCTTCTCCGATGAATACGGGCATTTTCACAAAGTGCGTATTCTTTTTTGGAGAAGAGGGTTTTAATCGCGAAGTAAATTCCAGCAAAAGAGGTGCACGTCCTATGCGGTGGATTATTGGAAGGCGTAACAACGATCAAGAGATGAAAGAAAGAGTGAAAGAAAAAAAGAAAGAAAAAGAATTGACGACCGGTTAAAGATCAATGTTACGCGATTCTCGTATCGTGGCTCGACTTCCTCGAAAGAATCGAATGAAAATGCCACGTAACACGTACTCACGTGTTATAATATTGTAACATGTTGACCGGTTGCATGAGCCGATAAGTCATTTGCATTTTCCTTGTACTTCCATTTTTATGAGCGTGCACTTGAATTTTTATCACTCTATAAATTTCGAGCAATAAGGAAGAGTCACGCAATTGAGACAGGTCGCGGTGTTTTCTAGCCTTATCGAAAAAATATATGGGTTGTTTTGTATTTTGCCGAGCAAATTGCGCGAGTCGTAATTTATGAGAGAAGATAAGAAAGCAAAAAAAAAAAAAAATTATACATAAAGAATTGTAATACCTGATCCTCTTGGCAATCAAACTGATCGACTCCACGCTTTTTGTTATTTTCTCCGTTTCACTTAAAAGTGTCTCGTTATCTAGATTTTATTTATTAGAAAAATTGGATTTTACCGCTAATACTCGTATCACAAGTGCAAATATTGCAAGAAAAACAAATTTATTTTAAATGAAAAATTTCTATAAAACAATAACTTTTATTCAATAGCTCAAATCTTATCAATTTCTATAATGAGAGAAAAATTTCCTTTTTTAACTATCACAAGTGCAAATGTCATCAGAATCGAATCAAATCTGTTTCGGAAATATTAAATTTCTACGAAATTTCTATTTCAAATCTTATCTTAACTCATTCTAATAACACTCAAACTTTCAAGAAAATCTCTCGAATATCTCTTATCAACTCTCTCTCTCTATCACGATAGAAATTTCTCTTTAATTATCCGTATCAAGTGCAAACATCGCAACGAATTCATATCGAAGCAGAGAATTACTCGTCAATGTTGAAAAGTGATATTAAATTTCTAACGAAACCCTCTCGAACAATTAAAATCTTATCGACGATGCACAAAACCATGATAGGAATTTCCTTTCGCGTTTCCATGTTAGATTCGAGTTACACACGATGGGACTGGAAGTAACGCATAGATGTTGTACGTTCTCGAGATCAAAATCAGATGAAGTGTACTTTCAGGGACGACGATCGTCACGCGAGCATCTCGAGCCAAACTTGGAGCGATTTTCCAAGGTTCTCTCTCCCTGGACGGACGTTTCTCACGATAACGTGTGCGACAGGCATGGCTATCGACCAACCGTGTAAAAGCAACAACAATGTTCCATCCAACGTTCTATCGGTCGTTACTTTCTTTCTTTTTTTTTTTTTTTTTTTGCCCAGATATCTCTGAATCGCCAGTCTCCATTACCAGCTACTAAAAAACTCGAATACTTCTACTATATTCTATTGGATACAATCTCTATGAAATATCGTGAAAATTTTTGTTTCTTGCTTCGTATATATATATGGAGATATTGAATTCTATTGCATTTTGCATTGCAGAATGATCGAAGAAAGATCTATTATCTAAAAACTCTATTTACAATTATTATTTTCTATACGATGCAAAATGTTTAAAAAAAAGAAAGAAAGATATTGAAGAGATCTACGTGATTTATACTCGATCCTACAATTATCGTATTTTATGTTAAGCATAAAACATTAAGATAATTTTGACATAATTTCACATTGTGTTCCAGCGATCCCGATCGAGCGATCTTCGTCCCGTTCAAGAAAGTGATTCTGGCCTGGTGCACCACTTGACCCGAGCCTCCGAGCAACCGAACAACTCCCCGAATTCTATTGTCCCAGTTCACCATGTGAATCGAAAAACAGAGAAACTACGGTGAACCGAATAACGTACGTTTCGTCTCCGCCGATTTCAACGAGTAAGTACGTGACACTTCTTTCCACCGTAACTGACCCACGCCACTTGAAGCACGCAGATGAAGAGGGTGAAAAAAAAAAAAAAATAAAAAAGAAAAAGAAAAGACGATGTTCGATTACCTGTCGATGCACGTCGATTTCTCGACTCTTGTCAAAAATTCTATCCGATTTTCTTCTCCAATCGTACGATCGAACGAAAAGAATCCAATTTGATCTCTCTACTGGTAGAGTGTACCTTGAAATGAAAAGTATCGAATACTCGTTCGCGTTGGTCTAAGTAATGTAAAATGTAAAATAAAAATTTTGAATTTTGGATTTTGAAGAATCGAATATCAAGTTCGATGTAAGCGAAGATAAATGTATCGCGTTTGAAACTTTGGGTTATTATAGAAGATAGTTTGTATATCTAGTTGCCGATCTCTGCAAATGATTTTCGTGTGAGAATGGATGTGAATCAGTATTATTAATTAATCGTGCAAAAACTCGGATCTTCGAGTTTCTATACTGCGTGTGTGTATCGTTGTCGAGGAAATGCACAAAAATTTGATCGATCTCTCGCGATCGATGTTAATTTTACGAATGATTCGTAGAAAGAATGAGCGAAAATGGGAGAAAAAAATTTCTAATAATTCTAGGTTTAATATAGTTCGTCACAATATTTAATCTCTTGTCATCGTAAACGCAATGAAGGATTCGCTATTGTCATTTGATCCATCGTATTTTTTTCTTTCTTATCAATTTCTTTTTTTTTTTTTTTTTTTAAATTTTTTTTTTTTTTTTTTTTTTTTTAACAAATCTCGATGTCTATTTTACGGTAAATGTGATATATTAAAAAAAGAAAAAAAAAAAAAAGAATGAGAGAAAAAGAAAAAATGAAAATTCGCGTATTCAAAGGTAGTAGTACAATAGACAAATATTAGAGACTATTTTTGTAACTCTTTGAGATCGTAAGATTTAATTGAAAAGAGAAAAAAGAAAAAAACATGCTCGAAGCGTTTTTTAATTGTACAAGGATGAGGATGGCACATGGAGGATGGCCATTTGAATATTTTGAGAAGGAGTCGATTGAAATATTTAAGAAAGAACGATTTCAGAAGAGGATAATTATAAAATAATATAATATTCCTCATTTCATCACTATAGTATAATATAATCAAAAAATTATTAACTATCATAATAGAGGTGACATCAAGTTCATGATACAAGAAAACTTAAAAAAAAATACTGGATGTAGAAGAAAAATGGGAATTTTTTATACCAGAAATCGTAATTTTTGTTAACTTTGACGACGACAACAATCCGAAACAACACACAGAACAAGATATTTCGCGTAAAATAATGGACGAGATCTTTCGTATGGGGAACGAAACTAAAAACGTTGCGAACTCAGAACGTTAAATAGCACGCGGCACTCTACTTTCAGCGTACGATCGATACTGCAAGTGATTCTTAATACCGGGTCTGTCTACTTTTAGAAAATTTTTGTGATAGTTTTATCGATAATCGCGTAACACACCGTGAAATCACCGTGTTCACATTTTTTATTACCTACTACTACTTTATTTATTTTTTTATATATCAAGTTTAGCGTTTAGACGGTTAAAATTACGGAGGAAGTTTATAAAATTTATTTTTTTAAGAAAGGAGAAGTGATAAAATTAAAAAAAGGACCTTCACTTTTGAGTCGAACAAGTTTGTTCAAGAGATAAACGTTCGCGTGGATAAACCGGGATATACGTTATATAAGAGATTAGATCTGTGAGAACTCGCTATACTCTATTATATTATTCTACATTTTATACACGTTACGTTTGATACTAAACGTTTATAGAGTTTCTCATAATAAATGAGGAGATAATCAATCTGCGCGGAAAAATTAATAATTGTAGCATAAACGATATTCAATGTTTTTCTTTCAGAGAAAATAGATTTTATAAATACAAGAAATGTTATCACATATCTGCCATGTTTATGCGTAGAACATAAAACAAGCTTATATTATTCATATAAAACAATGTTTTCAAAGAGAAAATATTTCAAGGAAGAATATATATAACTCGCAAAAGTTATAAAAACGATTTTGCCAAAAAAAAAAAAAAAAATAAGAAAAGAAAAAGAAAAAAAAAAGAATAAATTCTAAAATGAATTATTCCTAAATTTTTTTTAGTAAATTTTTCAAGCAGCATCTCCTCTTCTCTATCTCTTCTGGTTAACATCTGTTATAACAACTCTGCGCACAGCACACCAGTGGACGCGTTTACACCGAAGTGACAATATCGATTCCTCGTTGCAACCACGCAAAGTGTTTTAAACCTCGTGATAAAACGTCACGGCGATGATAATCAAAACTATGAATCAACGTGGTCGCCAATCAGAGTCTGATGCCACAGAGATTCACGCGTGCCCCGATTAAAACATGGCTGCGATTCTCTATCCAAATATGTTCGCGTGATCACGAAATACTGTTCGAAACACTGCGTATTACAAAGCATCGCGTGCGTGTATACACTTGTCGGAAGAAATATAGTGGCGCTGATAAACTTGGCGAATTTAAGTCAAAGGAAACTATGTTAAAGGAAATCTGATGAATTATTATTAATTGTTGAATGGAAATCGTTTGTTGGATTTTTCATTTCACTAATTTTAATTTTAATTTTGTCAAATGATATAACATTCTTAATTATATTTGAAACAAAATTTTTTTTTTTGATCGAGTCAAATATTTATTCCAATATGATGATACTTTATTATTCTTGAATTTTTTCGAAAAGAAATCTTCTTTATGAAAAAATGTCGCGTAATATTTTTTACTTATTCTTCCACGCAGAACTTATTTTTCTACTCTCTTTCTTTCTTTCCCTCTTTCTCTCTTTCTCAGGTCATCGACATTGCTCGACTTCTTTTGAATTTCCGCTGAAACGCACTAAAACATCGTTCTGAGAATGCACTATATTTCTTCAAACTCGAGTACATCTGTGCATAATATATTTTAAAGAGAGGAGCGCGCAAAAGAGCGCGTGATATTCGGTGAAAAGCGACTGTTCGCTTGTTTAAGAAAGATGCAAAGAGAAAAAGGTAAGGAGAAAATGACAAAAAGGAAAAGATAAAATGGTAGGAAAGAAAAAGAGAAGAATTCCTAATCGGAGGCTATACACATGTATATTATTGTTGGAAAGACTTTTTTTTTTAAGTATTTAAGAGATTATAGAACATTCTGTACAATTCGAGCTGTGTATAATCTTAATCGCTGTGCATCCGTGGAGGAACATAATAATATTTAAACGCGTGTCTGTATCCGTGTCTGTATTTCTGTGCAACAATGTAAATGATTGCAGTTGCAGTTTAATGGATCTTAAAAAAAAAAAAAAAAAAAAAAAAAAAACCAAACAAAAAAAAAATTTTTTTTTTGTTTGGTTTTTTTTTTTTTTTTTAAAACCACTAAACCGCGGGTTTCTTTCTGGTTTTTTTTTTTTTTTTTAAAACCACTAAACCGCGGGTTTCTTTCTGGTTTTTTTTTTTTTTTTTAAAGCCCAAATACAACGCAGCCAAAAATTATTGTTGTTGTGTTGGTGGGGTTTAGGGGTTTAAAAAAAAAAAAAAAAAAAAAAAACAAATATAAGCTAACCAACTAACAGAATTCTAGTTATTAGGATTTTAATCAAGCGTCTTCGTCTTTAAAAGATCTTTAAAGATGGCTTCTAAACGCGAGAAGATATCACCATCGTTTCGAGAAATATTCGAATCGTATCGTGCAAACTGATCGCGTGGCCATCGATGTTTGATCTGTAAAATCGTGTTCGAACAGAACGATAGAGGTAGAGAGAGGTTGAAATGAATTTTGTACGAGCAGGATGGTTCGTTTGTTAAAATCGAGTTCTCGGGATATACAAGATTTAGTTTGAATTGTGAATCGATTGGATGATATGCCAAATAATTTTTTTACGAATTTTATTAAAAAAAAAAAAAAGATGTTGCAAAGAATATAAATTTCGAATGATAATTATATTATAATGAGAATAAAAGAGTTAAAATCGCAATAAATTATTTACGAGTGACGAATTTCATTTGGATTCCATCTTGCAAATTTCTAATCTAAAACATTGAAAGACAAAATTTTATTTTTATATTGTGTGTATTCTTACCTTTATATCCGACTCATTGCATATTCATAGAAGTTGTAATTATTGAGACTGTTCGCGGTTGATCGTCATTATTCAACATAATAACAAAGAAGTAGAATCAAGGATAAATATCATAATTTGCCATTAGCGTCTTTCAATTTCCAGGAAACGCGAGTTATTCAATCGGAATTGTATTTGTTATGGAAAAAAATTAAAAAATTTTTCTTAGAAATAATGCGAAAAGACGAAACTTACTGGTCGATGCGAGAAATCATCGAGATTGGAGATTGCTTCTTACACATAGTGTCTTGTACCTGCATCTTTAGCTTATTAAGTCCCGAAATTTGGACAATTAAAATACGCAGAAATAAAATTATTTTAAATAATTTAACGAAAGATTTTTATAATTTTTTTTTTTCTTAACGTTTTCTATGATTTTTTTTTTCCAGATTTCGGGATTTATGCGTTTACGTTAAGTTAAGCCATAGTGAATAGATGGTTGCAGTAAACTAGAAAGTGTTACGATTATATAAAAGTTACGATAGATGATAATTTTTTACTGGTATTGTTTTCGATTCTTGCTAAATGCCACATTAACGATTTTAAGATAGTTACAAATGATAGGCTGAATCGGTTTCACGCTTTTAGCTGATTTTAACAAACAGTTGTACCTGGATCACGTTGTTCGTTCGTATCGAGTAAAACATGCGTTTTGTGCACGTATTTCTGATAATGAGTGTATTAGATGTGTCGTATCAATCTCTTGCTCCATTCATAAATGTTCAAGTTATTGGAACGTTTATTATAAGAAAAAAATGTATGCAATTAAAATTTATGATTTGCACCAAATATTAAATTTTTATTAAATATAATAAAAGTATCCTAAGACTTTTGAACTTTTAATATTAGATTTTTTTAAATAGTAGATTAAAATTTTATTTTTTTAATTTATTCATTCTTTACATACATTTAGAACCAAAGA